GTCCATGCTGACTGTGGTTGGTCTGCAGCGGCAGTGGAAGTAGATGTGGAAGAAGCGGGCCTAGGTTTCGCGATGATGTTGAGTCCTGCTGAGAGGAGCTGACTTTTGTCTGCTACCTGACCTTCATCGTTCAGTATGACATTCTTTCCCTGCTTACGCAACTCTTCCACAATTTCAGCGTCTGTCTTCTCCTTCTCGGCTTCCTCGACAGGAAGTTTAATGCCCTCCTTCAGTGCTCTCGCGGCTGCCTCCATAGCCTCCTGATGCCGTCGCTCCTGATCTGCAAGCATCTGCTTGTGGAATCCTTGCATACCAAACTTCTTCTTCTTCTCTTCTTCTGCTTCTTGCCGCTTCTTCTCTTCCTCCTCCGCTCTTCGCGTCTCTTCTTGTTGAGCCTTGTATGCGCCTGTTACGAACTTCTCCTTGTCGGCGAATTCGTCGCCCTCGGCTTCGCGCTCGCGTTGGATGAGTTTATCGCGGGCTCGTAATTGGTCTTTCTTACGCTGCTCGGCGGATTCGAAGAGCGCGTCCATGTACTTCGGTTTCCGTTCCGCGGCGTTGTCGCGCTCAGCAGCCTTCTTTGCGGCGTTCACTGCGTGAAGCGCGTCGTAGGCAGCGTCGTAGTCGTATAATGTGGCATCAGCTTCCAGTGCCTCTTGTGCGCGTTTCTCGGCCTCCGCGGCGCTGGCAGAGTATGCGATGGTGGTGGGATCATCTTCTTTCGGTTTAGGTCTCTTGGACGGAGGAGCTGGAGGTTGGCCTTTCTTCGGCTTCTGCGGCGCTGGTTTTGAGGGCCCCGATGAGGCAGAGGCAAGCGTGTCTTCGAAGCTAAGCTCGCCAATCTCCTGGACGCCATCCGCTGCTTTGGATTTGCCCTTTACATCTTCCTCCTCGTCATCGAATAGCGGCTTCTTCTTCTTTCCCAAGGCAGGCTTAGCAGCAGCCTTCGCGAGTGGGTTTGCGCCCTTGTTTTTGACATTGAGGCCGAATTTGAACGACATGTTGGGTTTAGTGTCGGAGTGGTGTTAGAGTCGCGGTCGCGAGTTGACATGTCGCATGCCAAGACGCTCGCGCAACCAGTGAAATCATCAGCACCTCCGCGCCTTCTCCGCAACTCACCCTCCTCCACTCTCAACCTTGGGATGACCGTGGGCATTTCACCCCCCGTACCTTCTTGCACATCTCACTCATGCATGACTGGCTCCTGAATCATCATAGTCCTCATCATGGAGGAGCAGGCTAGCGACGCGACAGCGGAGGACCTCTACACCAAGGCTAAAGCTTCAAGGTTCCACTTCAAATCCGGCTCCAAACGTCGCTCAAAGCGGCACGAACGCGAAGGCAAAGACGAAAGCACCGACGACCATACTTCAAGGAGACACAGGTCGGATCGCAACAGTCAAGAGCGCCGCAGCCACCGCGATTCAAGACGCAAACACAAGCACAAGCATCGTACCTCTCACGAGGACCGTCACCCCACGTCTACACGAGATGGCGCATACTACGACCCTGACTATCGTCATCGCGAATCATTGTTCGATAATCTAGATGAGTCAGGCGCATGCTCTCCCGGTCCTGGCCCGGCTCCCGACGAGGCCTTCCGCGAGTCGCTGTTCGACGCGCTAGCCGATGACGAAGGCGCAGCATATTGGGAGGGCGTCTATGGCCAGCCTGTACACATATACCCTGATACGAAGCCTGGCCCCGATGGCAAGCTGGAACGCATGACAGAGGAGGAGTATGCAGACTACGTGCGGACGAAGATGTGGGAGAAGAGTCATCAGCACATCGTTGAAGAACGCGAGGCGAAGGAGCGCGCGCGTCAGCAGCGGAAGGCACAACGCTGTCAGCTTGACAATGAGGTCGAGCAGGAAGAGGCCGAAAGAGATAGTATTCGGCGCCGTATGGAAGAGAGCCTACGTCGAGGCGAAGAGCGCAAGAAGGCCAAGGAGGCGGAGGCTGCATGGGAGAATTACACGACCAAATGGGGCGGTTTGAAGAACGTTCAACGTCTGGATGAAGAGACAGATGCGAAAGTGCGTGAGCTCATGCCGTGGCCTGTAATTTCTGGCAAGGCAAAGCATGTGTCAAAGGAAGAGATTGAACGCTTCTTGAGGAGCGCAAAGACGTGGAAAGAGGATTCGGTGGCACTACTGAAGGCGGAACGAGTGCGTTGGCATCCTGACAAGATGCAGCAGCGGTTTGGACAGCACATTGATGGCGATACGATGAGGCAAGTCACGGCGGTTTTCCAAGTCATCGATCGGCTATGGAACGAGCGACGCTGATTGGAATGTGCCTTTACCACTCATACGTTCGCATTGCCACGTTAATATTTTCTTTACTTCGAGATACCCACAACAACGCAGCTGCATCCGTTTACCGGCATACCCACCAGCGGCTATCGGTCTCGGCAGCGAGTTAATATCAATCGTACTACTCCGTCACCTCCTTTCTTGGCACCAGGTCACCGTACATTGACAAATTTAATCTCCGGCTTCCAAGAATCTTGGCGCACTGTATCCATGACGAAGCAACTGGGCTGATGTAGTTAAGCATGCCGATCTTCACTATGCTGGCGCTTGCAATGCTAAGGAACCGGCTAAATGCTTGGTCTTGGACCAAAATGCTTTTGCCAACGCCATCGGTGGATATATCACGTATGGTCATCTGGTCGTGTCGCATGCCGAGATGGATAAATTGTAGACAAGCTAATGATGCGAAGATAGAGTGGCTTGACTGCATGCTTCGTGGGTTGGCATAGTGCTTGAGTGAGCTTGATCAGGCCCCGAAAGCTTGTGCAATATCAACATGTACACAATTAGGTATACAAGTGCGATGGGATCTGGCTCTGAAGCCGTTAAGAATGGAGAATAAGTGCAACGAGTCAGGGTGGTTCTGAACGAAGGTGTTCTCGCTCCACTCTTGTCGCACTACAGTGCGTCGGGCCTATAGCATGACAGGTGAACACCAAACCCATCTCCATCGGAAATGAACTGTTTCAAGTTTCAAAACTTCGCCCTCCAACACTTATCCAACCAGCATTTTTGGTCCCTGAATAACCGGTGGTCTGATCTTGTTTTCAGAACACGGCTCCACACATGGCGACGGGTCGTAGCCATGCACCCCACAGTTACAGCGGCTGATATACGCCACTAGCCAGGCATGCTCTCACGACCGCTGTCCTCCAATTTGGAAAGCCTCCTTCAAGCCGATGCGTAGCCATTGTTCACCGGCGATCCCTGATGCTGATCAGTACGTTGCAATGCCTGCATTGATATATAAGAGTCTCTGATGTCCATGAGTGAAAGACACCAAGCATCTCCAATTTGAACAGACACCATGGTTGCTTTCTCCTCTATCCTCCTCGCCCTCGGCAGCGCCACAGCGGCTCTCGCCTCGCCACTCAACCTCATCCTAGAGGCTCAAGCTCAGGAAGAGTCTGCCAACCTGACTGCACGCGCCACCCCCGCTGGCACTGGCATGAACAATGGCTTCTTCTACTCTTTCTGGACCGACGGTCAGGGTCAGGTTACTTACAACAACGGTGCCGCTGGAAAATACGATGTTCAGTGGTCCAACGTTGGTAACTTTGTTGCTGGCAAGGGATGGTAGGTTGCTCTCATCATCTCTACACACGATCATACTAACTCCCTTTTTCAGGAACCCTGGCTCTGAGCGTGTAGTCACGTACTCTGGTACCTGGAACGCCGCCAACGTCAACTCTTACATTTCGCTCTACGGATGGACTCGCAACCCACTCATTGAGTACTACATCGTCGAGTCCTACGGCTCATACAACCCCTCTTCTGCTGCTCAGAAGAAGGGCTCCGTCACCTCTGACGGCGGTACATACGACATCCTCCAGACTACCCGCACCAACCAGCCTTCTATCGACGGCACTGCTACCTTCCAGCAGTTCTGGTCGGTTAGGACTAGCAAGCGTGTCGGTGGTACTATCACTGTCAAGAACCACTTCGATGCTTGGGCCAAGTACGGACAGAAGCTTGGTACGCACAACTACCAGATCCTCGCTACTGAGGGTTACCAGAGCTCTGGCTCTGCTAGCATCACTGTTCAGGGTCCTTGAACGATGGCTCTTTAAGGTGTCGAAAAGGCCTCGTGGCTAGAATTCTTGTACATACACGCAGACATTTCTGAAAGCTATCAACAAAATGCGCATCACATATTGATTAATTTTGTGGATCAGTGATTTACAGTTTATACCTGTGGCGAGCCGGCAGCATCGGGCGATCTATGCCCGAGGAACGGTTTTTGAAACACGCGACCTCACGCGTTGATGAATGAACCTCGAAATCTTCCAAGGTTCGACTCATTCCCACCCCCGAAGCCACTGACATCAGCCTTGACAGAACTTGTCGGTGTCATCGATTATACTGCATTCGCTGATATACAGTAAGACGGACCCCAGGACTACCTAGATAACATCTTCACCACAGATAACTCAACGCCCATACATGAGGCCATGACATTGGTCACTGAATGGGCGAGTGACTACGGTAGTATTTCACGTAACTTACAGAGTATGCGAGCTTTTGCGCATACGGACAGGCTGTTACCAATGACAGGCGCGTACGATATTTATGGCTTGCAGGGGTGCAGACAGACACGCGGATACTCTCAGCCTTGTTGTCTGTCGCAGGTAAGCTGAGAGCATCATCGAGCGACGTCGTCTTTTCATATCCTCTCATACATTTACTCGTGTGTTATTCATTGTTGTACCGATATCTTCACATCACCCTTGCGATTACAGCCATGGTTTGTGGCGGCAAGCTCATCTGCGACGCGCGGAACACTGCCATACTAGCAAATCTCGACGTTGCAGGCTATGGAGTATGCGCTTCTGCTCATTTCATCATGACTGCCATTGTTGTTCTTGTCTTGTCGCTGACGTCAAGCTCGTTCAGGTTCTTGTGTCGTTTGTACTCTCGGCTCTGCTTACAGTCGGAGCTGTGATATGCGCGTATCTTTCGGATTCAATGCCCGAAAAGTACCTTGGCAAAACGGACGAGGCCTTCATTAAAGAGTTCCAGCGCATCAAGAAGAATTTGCCATTCCGCCTTTTGCCCGCCAAGTTACGTCCACCACCTACTGAATGACAGGGAAAGCTCAGTCGGGAGAAACGTGTGGAAGCATTCGACCACTTCATATTGTCGTTGAGTGACTAATAGCTTGCGACTGGCTTGGCGATTCTGATAGCTGCCGTCGCAAACCAATGTACGCTTTCACCCCCTGAATTTCGAATTGCGTTCTCATTAGCATGGTTCTCAACTACTACACCTCTGGTGACACTTGACAGTTTACGGCAGTATTTCACAAAACACAAGACTCTACGAAATGTGCGAGTATTTGATATGCTCGCCTATGGTCTTGTTCCTCTATTGCTTCATTGTTGTATTGGTCATGGAAAATAGTCCCGATAACATCGTTCCGGTTCAATGCCATGTCCAAGGTTCGGTCAGAACGTACAAGGATGAGGAGATCATTCTCTCCACCTACTTCTGGCCCTGGGCTATGACGGCCCTCATCATCATATTTTCATACAAGTCCAAGCTCCTCCGCACGTACTCATACGGGTCGAACGACTTCATTGGCTTAGGACGCTACTCAAAGAATGTACTATCTCTCTGAGCCGGTGGAGATATCCGAAAGAAATTCAATTACCAATTATGGAACCTGATCAGTGGAACTACGTCTGGAACGAAGCCGCCGAGGAGCTTTTTGCTGGGCGTCGTCAACGTCTTCTTATGGATCTCGTACTCAAAAGCAAGGGTCCTGCCTTTGTAACCGAACTAGCCAACGCATGGAAGTATGCCGAATACAGATATTGGAATTCAATGCTTCCACTGGTACCACCAATGACGTTCATGCTTGTCTTTAGTCTTACCCAGATGATACTCTTCCGTTGGGAGTTGGGTGACTACAAAGCCATTGAAGTCGACACATCCGTGGGTTTTGGACAGATTATCCCATTAATACTACTTGCACTGCCTTTTCTTGCTGCAGCCGACATATACCAAGGTAGGTCTTGAGCGTTTTCCTCAACCTCATTGGTTGACCAAACCATAGAATCCGGGTCGGCCTCTCCATCGGGTACGAAGTCGTTAACGTCTAATACCGTGGTGATCAGCGAACCAAGTTCAACCGTATCACCAACGCGAGTCGATCGAATGCCGACCCTCGGAGTGACCTCATCCGCTGATGTTAACGATCCTCGTTTGGTCCAATTAAAAGAACAAGGACGCGAATATGACAATGAGATAGCCAACGTCAAAAGATACTTCTATTGGGAAGTGGAAGAAGTGAAAATGCAGCACACAAACGCCAAGACGGATCAAGAAATGAGAGTCATCCTCATTCGCAAAGAGCAGCTACTGAAAGACACGAAAACCTGTTTTGAGGCTGAAAACAAGACGAAGGGCAAAGGGGTTCCTCTAAAAATCGCCTCGCTTCTCTACATGCGGGTGACTTTTCTTGCCGCTGCAGCTATTCTTCTTGATCCGCCACGTAGGCATTTCATTGGTGGTATCATTGGAGGAGCGCTGCTGCTCATGCAGCTCAGCTCGCAGTTATATGTGTGGATCTCTACATTGCGGGGGACGAAAGTCAAGGTTTATGTTCGGTTGTTGGCAAAGTTCGACGAGAACAAGCAGGGAAGGCTGCGTGCTCAGTTGCATTAGCTTTTGACACACCTAGCCTGAGTTCGCGACTGTTTATGCATTCCTCCTCTCAAGATGGAGCAGACCATCCATCTTGTCTCATGATGGAAAGTGGCGGTTTAGAAGCCGCCCTTCTATACATCCACGAATGATGTGTCTAGAAGATCTACTAAATCGCTATAGATGTCGTGTTACACAAGAAATGGTGATGGTTGGATGAGTGTGGACAAATTGCATGGTGGCACTTCAACCAAGATCGCGAGACTGACTAGAAGCCAACCACGTAAGTAGTCTTACGAGACTTCGCTCCATTTCCAAGATTCAGGACTGTTAAAAATCGATTTGAATTGGACGGGCCCAGCCTAGCGAACTCTTTCTCGGCGCTCTGGGAACTTTTTCTGAAAATAGTTACCGATTCTACGTCAGGCGCAGTCAGGATCATCGTGGACGCGGTTGATGAATGTGAAGTAAGGACGCGCAACAGCTTCCTTAAGGCCATAATGCGGTTAGTAAACGAGCCTCAGGATGTACATCCACAGTCCAGAAACTGCATTAAGTTTCTGATAACTAGTCGTCCATCGCTCGGCAATTCATACAATCTCACGGGGTTGATGAAGAACAGACTCCCAATCGAGCAAGACTAGGCCAATATCATTGAAGACGTAAAGCTGGTCATCCGAAGCAAGGTCGGCGAGATTGCGAATAAATTCCATTGTGACAACGACACGAAGAGCTATCTAGAACGAGTGCTGTACTCTAGGTCTGATCAGAGTTTTCTCTGGTTGAATACGGTATTACATAGCTTGGAAACAAGTCCAAAAGCGTCAAAGAGAGATTTCGAACGAACCATCGACACGTTCCCCCAGAACCTCGAAGCTACCTATAACAGATTCTTACACGAAATTTCCCCTGGAGATCGAGAAGACGCTGGGAGAGTTCTACGTCTGCTGATTGGAAGCTCAAGGCACTTGACATTAGTGGAGATGAACACTGCATTCACAATTGACCAAGACCACAAATCTGTAGCCGACGTGGTAAACGATTTGCAGATTTCTATCAGCTCAACGCTACAGAATATTGTGGGGTCCTTCGTCCGCACTAGGGAGAAGGATCAGATTTCCCACAAAGACTCAAAAGTTTCGCTCATACACCAGTCCGCCAAGGAATATCTAACAGACCTCGCACTTCGTTCTGCAGACGAGACAGTGCAGAGCCTCGCGGTCCCTTTATTGGACGTAGCGCTGAGCATATCCCAAGCATGTATACGGTATCTGCTCCTAGAGGAATTCCAGTTGGACATATTTGGGTCAGAAAGAACAAGCCTCGAGACCGATTCACCCAATTCGTGTCACTCATTGCCATACATAGACTTCGATGCAACGGCCTCAAGCGGTCCTCTAGACCTCGACGATCATCTCGACTTAGATAACTTTTTCAAAGACTCACGCGAGATAAATGAGGAGCAGTGCACTCTGATCGCCCAGAAGTACAAGTTCTTCGATTATGCTGCGACACATTGGGCAGAGCACTATTCCCTGTGTGAACGTATCGCCACGAAGTCTGTCCGAGAGGCCGTTAATCGATTGACGACTCACAGCTACGTTCTGACAAACTGGCTGAGATACTAATGGATCAAAAACAACATAGAATACTCATTTCCAGATACTTTCGAGCCAATCGAGGTAGCCGCATTCTTCAATCTGGCTATGCTGCTTGCGGAAATTATAAAGAAGGTAGAGTTTGACAATGATGCAAGAAAACTCCAAGCACTATTCTGAGTGGCGAGGATGTCCTCTCTAGAGTGTATAGAGGTGTTGCTTCAGCATGGTGCAAATCCTAATGGCGTTAGCATCGACCGGCAAACACCCTTGACTATATCGGCACAGTATGGTCATCTAGATGCCGTTCAGATACTTCTCAACGAGCCAGGTACAGACGTTACTTTCAAAGGCAAATCTGGAAGATCAGCATTGTCATTTGCAGCGGGCAACGGCCACCTAGAGATCGTTGAAGCCCTGCTTAAGTATGGAGCATTCAGACTAGATGAACAGGATAACGCACGTTGGACGCCACTCTTCTGGGCTGTGTTAGGAGACCATGGAAGTATTGTGCAGCTATTGCTGGAGCAGCCGTTGATAGAAATCAATCAGGTTGATAAAAATGGACGCTCAGTATTATCCTGGGCTGCGGGAGAAGGCGCAAGACGGGCTCTGAAGGTCTTACTTCGACACCCGTCTGTTGACTTCAATCTCAGGGATGCCGAGGGGCGCTCTCCACTACTGTGGGCTGCGAGGAATGGTCGAGGAGAAGTGGTCAGTATTTTGATGCACAAAACAGGGATTGATAAAGCCACGAAAGACAAAGACCTGCGGAATACGATCTCTTGGGCATGTCAAGGCGGGCATACTAACACTTTGCGCACTTTACTCAAGAATGAGTGTGGCGGTGAAAATGACGTCGATATCGACGCTTGGACGCCATTGTTATGGGCGCTCTTTGAACGGTCCTCAGCGACTGTGGAAACGCTTCTTTCGACCCGCCGCGTTCAGATTGACCGCCAAGACAGCTGCGGTCGTACAGCTCTGATATGGGCTGCGAGCTATGGATATCTAGACGTAGTACAACTGCTAGTGTCATGGAAAGCATCTCTGCTTATCAAGAACCAAGGAGGACACACGGCTGCGGATGTTGCAAGGATGGCAGGGCAAATTGAGGTGTGGGAGTTTTTGGAGGCTCAGCAAGTAGGGAAATAGAGAAGTGTCGATGTGTGAGTTTCACCTACGTCATTCTCCTTCAATACCCGCGTTCCCAGGAACGCCAGCCTAAAGTAAAGATTGTGATTCTGCCCTATACCGGTACCGGCAGTATGAATTTGTGGCCATCCATTTCCCTAAGGAACAAGAGCTTCTGCAATCGCCCAAAATGAGGCCTGGTGTTTTGTTACGGCTGAGCCTACCCCGACTCAGCCGCCAATCTCGTATTCCCAACTTCTTACTGCATCCATCAATAAGCTACTTGTTTCCACCCATTGACAGTCTATCAGGCATGTTTGAGTTGCTCGTAGCCGCCTTTCTTCGGGTTTCGTAGGACAATAGGCAACACAACAACAAGTCTGTATTTGACTGCTGCTCCGACCTGGAGAAGTGAGTTCGGCTTTTGTGGCTGCTTCATATATCAATGAGAAATACCTTAGATCAAAAGATCATGTCAATAAGCTCCCAATGACACAGCATGAGTTTCCCAGAAATCTTCTCAAGTCATGTATGATATTGCCCAGGACGAAGGATGATGATGTTTCCCTTGTTTTCGATCCAAGTTGCTTCTTCCTTGCCACCTTGATTGCGGTTTTGCAAAGACGGTCAAATGCTCCGATGCTCACTGCCAGATGCCTTTCTGGAAGATCTCGTATGCCGAGCTCCAGTGGGAATTTGCGCTACAAGTTTCATTTACACACCAGAAGTCGTTTGGATATGGTGCGGTACCATGTGAGCATGCAGCCCTCTCAATGTTGTCCAGTATTCCATCATGCTCTGTAGCTTGGGCGCCAAACAGCTCACGGTAACATGGAGTACTACTGTGCATCTCAGAAACTGCGCTCCGTCTCTCGTAATTTCTCTTCCAAAACTCGTAGCCCTTATTGTTTCTGAAGCAGTATCCTAGATTGAAGATCTCCGAAGTGTCGGTACACATCAAACGCCTCATCTCTCTCTCAGTCCTCCGCAACCCGGTCTTCTTCAAGCTCACGACCCAAGGCAGCGAATGCAGAAGGCGATCAGATCGGACTAAGTAGTATCATTTTTGTAACATGCTATACGTGAGAGGAGACAGGCTCCTGACTGGGTTGTTTACCAGGCCTGCCAAGGCTACAATCACCATCAGGCGGGTTGTTCAAAAGCTAAGCTACTCGCTAAAGTTAGGAGCAAACATATTTCTCAGCTACGAGGGGAACAATGAGCGCTTTGTATGCGCATCAAGGAAAGTAGCTGTCGAGTGAGTAGACGGAACGACCAACACGATTTGAACGTTGTCCTCTGTCAGATAGACGACTGCGACACGTTGTGCCAGGCAGATAGCCAGGTCGCTGCTCGCCGACAGAGGCTACAACTGATCAAGCTGAGAGTGGTATCACGTGCAATTACCATCGGCTGCGACCAAGTGCAGCCCGCAGGTATGATGTAAACTCATAGTATGCTTTAAGAGAAAGCAGACATGGTAGTGTTGTTGACGCGGCCGAGTCACAGTCTCAGGCAGTCGGCTGATGGTGCTTCGCCAGTCTCAAGTCGATAAAAGTTCATTTCATACCTACCAAGTATACATTAGTCGTACAGTATATACACGAGTTATAATCAAGCTGCGCTCAAGGAGCCTTTGTCCGTAGCTGCACGCCGTGCCAGCTCTTGATTTCATCCTTTAACACTTCGTTGACCAGTTTGTGTTGCTTGATGACCGTCAAGCCTTTGAACTTGGGGGATTCGACCTGGATCGCGTACATGGACCCACAGCCGCCGCTGATGTCTTGGACCTGTACCAGACATGTTAGCATTCGCTTAAAGACTAATAGACGCACATTCCTTGTGTGCGACTGTATTGCTTTTTTCCAGGGATTTGACTTGCATCACAGCTTGAAATGTACCCCGCAATGCTGATATGACGTGCATGCTCGCGATGCAGTAGTCGGTCGCGCGACCGGTGAAGTCAACGCAGAAAGCGTCCACCTCCGCATGTGTGTAATCTCCAAAGACGAGAAAGCGGGGAAACATTACATACCTCCAGTTTCACGGGCTCCAACTCCGATTTGATTTTATTGAAGACGTGCAATTCTGCCTCGTTGAGGTAATCCGGTGCTTCAGGCGCTGCGCTGGCTGACTGCGAATATAATCGTGTGCACAATGTGGGGAACGTTGACTGCTGCAACAGGCCCGAACGTAGAGGTGATGACTGTTGTGTTCTACATAATGCATTTGAAGATATGGCGAGTAGACGCGACGTCGGTCGTAAGCATGGTGTTACGGCTGCGGAGG